CTAAATGAGATTATATTTTTTGCTGCTTGCTATGGGTAGGAGGGAGAGAGAGCTTAGATTTAAAGTCCTGATCAGCTGAGCGTGAATGTGGAAGATCAAAGGGTCATTTAGCACACAGGGCTAAGCACTCCCTCATTGTCCTTGAGGAAAATTCCTCTCACTAAACTGTGGAGTAAAATGCCTGCCTGTCTGCCTCCCACTCTATCCCCATGAGGGATGGCTGCATTTCCCTACTGGACAGCTTCTGCACTCAAATGTTTTGAGATGAAAAGCTCTATAGAAGAGTAAGATAAATAAAACTGCAGTTTATTTATTAAAAGAAACTAACAGTTATTCACCAGGCGAGCCAAGCTGTTTTGCAGTCTGATCACAGCAAATACAGTGGGAGTTTTGGGAAGAGTAAAGCCCTGTTAAAATTAAGGAGACATCGTTCAACAAATTTTTTTCCACTAAGCCATGGAAAGGCAGGAAGCCTGTCCTAATAGTATGAATCATCAATACACCAAAAAGGAAAAGAGCTCTTAAAAGTAATCACTGATACCCAGCCCTGCCAACACCATAATGGAGCCTGTAAAGGAATACAGAGACCAAGGAGAGGAAGTCAGTCAAGTACTGAGAAATCAATACAAAGCAGGAGAGGGATTCAGAAGTATGAGAACAGTGTTCATTTAAATAAATACTCTAGCAGTGCTGTCTGGTGCAGGCAAAGATAGAGCAAAATGTATCTGACACCTCTGACATCCTCTGCTGCTGCTTAGATTTCTTCCTCCCACTGCATCGACCCTGCACCTTCTCCCTCCACTCCGAGGAAGGGATGGAGCAGGGATGAAGTTTCTTAGCTCATTTGTGACATGCTGGCTGAAGCGTGGGCTGTTTCCAACTTGCTTTTATAGCAACTACTGGTGTTGGTGGCACAGAGGAGACCCAGCAGCCAGAGCTCCAGTCACCCACCAGCTGCTGTCTGGCCAAGCGTGGCTGCTCAGGCACTGCCTTCCTACTCCCTGCAACTCAATTAGATTAGAAAGGGTTAGAAAAGTGATAGAGGGAAATATTGTTTACATAAAGGGCTGTATTTGGCACAAGAATACTGTTCCCTCACAGATACAAAGCAGTCCCCAAGCAGTCTCTTTTAGAAAGGCTGCTGAACTTTTCCAGAACATGGAACCCATGAATTATGAAGCATAGGTAAAGAAAACTGTGGTAACTGGCACAGGGCAATTAGGAAAAAATGCAGACACTGAAGAAAAAATAACCTACTTGGCTCACCTCAGAGCTATACTAGCCAAAAGTTCATATGGGAAGGAACAGTTTTTTTGCCATGGATAAATTATGAAAACAGGAGTATTAAAGGAAATCAGTAGTTCCAGCTGGCACAAACATTATCCCAGGACGAGCCATTTTGCTGCAGTGCACTTCAAACAGGACACGAGCCCTCTGAAGAACACAAACAGTGCTCACCCCACCCGTGCTTGCTTGAAAAGTGTCTCCAAGACAGACTTTTTCCTCTACCCAGAGGAATGAAGGACAGTGATCATATTCCCTAATCCAAACTGGTGTGAAAGGTGCTGATCCTGTCTCATAATGCATCTCTTCCAGATAGTCTATTGTTCTCCACCCATTTTGTATTGAGAATGTACATTTGATCTGGTATTTGATGCTCCTACAGTTTTTAAGGCCAGAAATCAAGCACAGAGGTAACCTGTGTAATCTGGGTGCCCAAGGAAATCAGGGAAGATAAACCTGACTAAACAGAAAAAAAGCCAGATTGATGGAGTTAAGCCAGACCATCCCAGCAACTGCATTGCTCAATATACCAGCCTGGTGCTAGTTGTTTTCCAAATTTTTATGTTAAGACTACAAAGTCTCTGCTGCTCCTTGCCCACATTCCCAGTCAGTTTTATGGAAAATTGCCCACAGGGTAGGCTCAAGAAATGCCAAAAGGGATTAAAGTGTCACCTTCACTTCCCATGTCAGCGTCATCCTCGGTGACAAACGCTTCTTATACCTGTGAAAGGCTGTGGGACTGAACAGCATGAGCAGAGTTTTCCTTTGAGGAAGCAGGGGATGGACTTGATTGATTCGGAAGCAGGACATTAACACCAGTGCCAGGCAGTTGGAGAGCACTGCCTAGACTGAAAGGAATGCATGAAAGAAGCAGATCACAAGTTTAAAGCAGGCAAGAGAAGCCCCTCAAAAAAACAATTTTAGCAGGATCAGGACAAGGATGGCATAAAAGTCTGGCCTATCAGGATGCTGGGGCCCAACAAAGTTACTGCAGTTATTTAATAAAACAGAATATACCATGAGACTCAAGAGAAGGGAGAGAGAAAGAATCAGGAAGTGTAGTTATATTCAGCTGTAACTAAGTGGAAAAAACTGCCTTCAGAAAACTCAGACTGGATTCCTTTTCTGTTAAAATTAAAAACAAACAAAAACAGAAAAGGAAAAAAAACACTAACGTAGGCCAAACTGGCTTGACCTTGCTTCTGATGCCAGAAAACACTGGCTGTACTCAGATGCCTGAATGTTGGAGTCCTAGAGGTTTTAGTGTAAGGATTTTGTCTAAGTTTTACTGAGATTCTCCTACCCGCCTCCGGCTGGTTGGGTTCTGCAAGACCTTCAGCAAAATGCATGGCACATATCCAGGGGCTTTACTAGCTTATTTATACTTCAAGTCCAGATCCATCCAAATCTAAACCAAGTTCAAGGTAAATCCCTCCACCAAAAAAAAAAAAACAAAAAAACCCCTCACATCCCCCAAAAATGCATGGGCATAAATTCAAACTCTGATCTCCTCCCTTGGTGCCTGCTTGCTTTGCAGACCTTGTGCTGAGTTATCTGCTTGTCTTGATTTCACCATCACTCATGTGGGTGATGAGCCCAATATCCAGACTTCTAGCTAGCACTTGCTAAGCTTCATGCTGATAGGAAATCAGGAAATTCCTCCTTCTGGGTCCTACTTGGAAAATTCTGACACAGTTAAGAGTTGCAGGTCTGCCTCAAGAATTTGATTATGGAAATTTACCTCCCCTGGAGGTCCTTATAGTTTTTATTTATTTATTTATTTTTAAATTAATTTTGCACCTAGAGGAAGTCCCAGTCCTGACTTCTCTGGCCTGCTCGTGGCCAAGGGGCTTCATGCACTGACATCTAGTGGCCAACCAAGGCAGGCTGCTCCTGTGAACACATCCCACATCCATCCACGTTTTGCCACAGAACAGACCTAGAATTTAGGCTCCCACTAACACGAGGGATGAAACTTCTGCAATACCAAAGGCTGGGACATCATCATGGACTGCCTTTATCCTGCACATAGCCACCTTCAGAAAGAAACCAAATTTATTTTTTGCCAGAAGTCTCCCAATTTGAGGCTGAGTTTTGAACTGAAACGCAATAATAATGCCTTTCCTAGCTGCACCTGAGAATTTATATCTCTAGTTAGTGCTCCTCATAGGTATACCTATACAGAAACGTTTTTTGCAAGCTCTAGAGGGGGCATAATGTGATCTGAGCCTGTTGCTCTTCCTGAGAGCATGAGCTCAGCCAACGTGGGCCGTGTTCCCATCTCATCCCTCACCTCCACACACGCACTGTGGGCTCTAGCACACGAACAGCACAGAGGATGCACAGTTTGCACTGCGAGTTTAAATGCTAGCAGCCCTTCGGAGAACATGGGAACTGGCTTCTGTTCAAGTCTTGCCACCTCTAGGAAAGTTACTGAGTGCCACCCACTGCGGTTCTCCCGCTTTGTTTTTCCAATAACATCCTGCTAGCAGCGATAAATCTGCTAATATGCAGTAACATAAACAGTTTGCCTCACTCAGGAATTCCACTAGCAGCTGGGAGTTCTAATTAATATTTTACTTGCATAGCCAAGACAACTAAGAGCTGCAGCTTTCATATGATATATAGTTTTAAAAAGAGAAACCTTCCAGCTATCACTGATAGGCAAATACTGCAACAGGATGTGGTGATCTGCAGCTTTTTGTATGGTCATTAGAGCCTTTGCTCCTTTTAATCTATGCAAGTGTTCAAGGGAATTGAATGTGTTTGGACTTTGCAGTTATCCATGTTACAATCAGCTTTTAAGCTAATTATCAGGTTTTGTACCATGGATTTATCTCTTCTTGCATTAAGTAGAATCCAAGATGAAGGTGCAATTTATAAGTCCTTTTAAGTCTTTTCTCATTGCTCCTAACTGTCCCATAACATTTCCATTAGAGTTGTCCATTAATTTGCAATACTAGAAATACTCACTTTTGCAAAACGTGCTTTGTCTCACAGAAAATGTGATAAATGAGCAATTACAGAGTATACAGACTAACTCCTCCCTTTTCCTTCCATTAAGGACAGCTCTGCTGTTTCTATTCCCACTGCCCTTTGGAGCTATAGTGTTAGCTCATTCTTCTTCTCGCTGAATATTATCCCAAATGAATCAAATGCAAAGTTTCAAGGCAATCTAATAAATTGAAAATATAATGTCCATTAGCCTAGCATAATAGTATTTCAACTGCAATTTTAAATTCCGTTAAGTCCCAGACTATCTTAAATGCTATTTTGCTTGCAAAAAAAAAAAAAAATCTGCAATTTCACTTCAGCTCCTCCCACCAAAGCAAGGATCCATCACACTCTGCGCTAATAGCTCAGTCCTGCACTGCCGCGATGCCGAGGTCTATGGACTGATTTGTAACTTGGAGAAGGGGCTACAAATGCAGGAGAAAAACAAGGTAACAAGAAGAGAACAGCACACTAGTTTTGTTAACAAATCTGTTTTTCCCTTTAACACTAGGGTCATATCTGTAATGGGCAGTTGTAGCCTGGGAAAAAGCAAGACGACAGGGTTTTCTTCTGCTACCCCCTCAAAAAATTCATCAATTAAAATAAGCAGACTTATTAACGAGCTGTTCCCCATTCCGACTTTTCCTGTGATTTATATGGGCAATTTTTATATCAGGCGTGTGCCGATTTGCAACCAACCTGCAGAGCCCCATGCGACGTACCGCGGTACCGGTTCCCATTCCTCTGGGCTGGGGGAAAGCCGAGGGTCTCCGCTCCGAGCTCGTCTGTAAATTGGCCCTTCGGCGCTGCCAAGGGGACTCCGCTACACCTGGGGGTGGGAACAATTTTCAATTAAATAGCATTGCCTGTGTGACTATGGAAGGCACGCACACGTAGTTACAGGATTAGGCCTTAAGAATTTTATAATCCTACGGGGAACTAGAACTAGTTACAAGAAGTTTGGGGTTTGACTAAACACCTCTATTTTTCTTCAAGTCCTTTAATTAAAGCACCCTGCTGCTGCATTTAGGCACCGTTAGGGCCCTAACGCTTTTGGGATGCGATGTCTAAGGTAGCATTGGCCTGATGGCAGCTCAGGGATGGGGAGCACTAGGGCCAGGCCGGTCCCTGGGCCCGGGGTGCTCGTGGCAGGGCCGCTGGTGCCACCCCAGGCCCAGCCCAGGGAGGAGGCCGGACCCGGGCCAGGCCTCTCCTTCCCGCAGGCCCCGGCTCCCCCCTTCGCAGGGAGGCCCCGGCACCGCCCGCCGCCCCCGCGAGAGCAACGGGGACGCACTCACCGCCTTCCTCCCTCCGCCCGACGGCGCGTCCCTGCCAGGCCTCAACATGGCCGCAGCGGGAGGGCTCGGCTTGCCCCC